CGTCGCCCCCCTTCAAAGACGAAAAAAAAAAAAAAAAATCCCATCACTAGGGCACGGCATCGCTCTCTGAAGGTGCCTGACTCGCCTGCAAGCACCTGATATCAAAAAAACCCAAACCAAACCCACCTGCCAAAAGTGAACTGCTGGAGTCGCCGCCCCGTGGCGTTCTCCTTTAACCACGGCCCATGGGCACCTGCCAGAGCAACAAGTGCAGCCCCGGGTCGCGTTCACGCTGTGCTCGCCCAGGCGAAAACCAGCCGCGTGCCCTCGGCCAGCTCACGGTCTCGCACCTGAGACTGGATGCACAAGCGGTATTTCCTAAACAAATTGCCAGACAACAGACAACACCTCCCTCCTCCCTGCTCCCCCGCGGGATGTTTTTTTAAAAGTCATCACAAAAACAATGTCTCGTATGCTGCTCGCTATTTTTAGCACATGCTGCTGGAAGGGACTAATTTTATCATTTTTCCTCCTGTCGACACGAGACAGTGTGTGACGTGCATCCGCAGAGGTGCAAGAAGGCTGGACAGGAAGGGCTGGGGATACGATGTGTTGTCTTTCAGTCTGGCGGGGTTTTCCATGAAGCAGGTGACTGACTGATGGCGGGACTGTCGGTGAGCAACAGTCTCAAAAGCTGTCACATCTGTAAACAAGGGTCTTTGTCCAAGTGCGTCACTATATTGCCTGGATGATGGCGTAAGAAACCGGCCACGCCAAGGCTGCCCTCCCTCCTCATGCACGGTCTCTTTGCAATGCAAATCTCACCAAGTCCACAAGCCCTCCGAAAGCATGGAGGCAGGTGTCACTCCTTTAGCAACAGGAGACATCTCGTGAAATGGCAGTGTCCTCAGATAAAACTCTTTCAGCCCTTTCATCTTATGGGGGCTTTGGCATCATTCCCTCCTCTGCAGGAAAGGACGGTGGGAGCACCTCTCTGCTCGGCTGCTTGTGGTCCTCCATGCTGCTGCCATGGCTTGAAGGGCCAAGGCACCTTCCCGCAGGGGACAACCCAGCTGCATTCGAAAGAATCCAGTTACCTTCAGAAGCACTGAATCAGGCCAGAGAAGAGGCCTTGGAGCTGCTGCCAGGACACCGGCACCCCTGTGCTACCACTGTGACACTGCTGCAGCGCCCGCCTGGGGGGCTCAGAGCCGAGGACGGCCCTGGGATGGTGCCCATCACTGGGCTTTTGTGCCTTTGGGGTTTTGCCTGCGTTAGCACGCTCTGCCCAGGTCAAGGTACCACGTTTGCACCTCCTCCCTCAGCTCGGGGGTGTGAGCCGGGGCTGCAGCCACCTTTGCCACTTGCTGCGTGGCAGCGATTAAGGGCAGACTTCTGCTCACACCTTCCCCTTGGTGCTTCCAAAAGGGACGTGACTGAGCCGTGACAAAGGCACGAGGCCACGTTCACGTCCCTCCTGCCCATGATCAGGAATTAGGGAGGTAATTTTTGACGACAGCAGCTGGGCCTTCCCCAGCGCTGCCACAGGGTCAGCAGTATGTCAAGGAAATCACTTTGCCAAGTAGGGAAAAATCCAAGCAACTACAGCTTTGGGTGGCTGCTTGCTCAGAGCAATGGTATCAGACTGGTTCAGCTGCATGGCAAGGTGCAGCCAGTGCCTTTGGGACTATCAGTGGCAAGGCAAAATGTTCTGGGTTTAGAATTGGCTAACTTCAGAAAATACCCTGACTGCTGGAAAACATCCTCCTAGTCACAGCTTTACACACTGTGGGGTGGAAGGGCACCTCCTTGTTTTTGGGAAGGATGTTTATTTGCATCAAATGTTCTTTGCCATGATCATTTAATGAGAGGGATTTTTTTTACTTTTAAAAGGTAAAAAGCTTTATAGTTTATTGCAATCATCATTAGTTTGTGAAGTCTTTTAGCTGAGTCAATTGCTTACAGGAACATGACTACCTGGAAAGAGCAAGTCATGGCTGGCTTTTTGCATGAAGGCAGAGTCCAAAATGGGCTTTTGCCAAGGGCTGGTGACAACAATCTGGTTCAGCTGTACTCCTTGATGGGGACAAATGACCCAATCATCTCCTTCACCAGAAGCAGTGGGGATCAGCAGCACCACTTGCTCCCCAGGCATCTATTGATACAGGGGCTCTGGACACAGGGTGGAGGTGCTGCGAGAACACTTGTATGACCCAATATTGCATAGGAAGGAAAATTAAAAAAGGAAAATAATTTTTAAAAAAGCACCAAACTGCTGGACCAAAGCTTTGAACCTCCCGTCCCTGGGCAAGGGGAGGGCAAAGGGCTGGCAGTGCAGAGGCAGCAGAGTGGACATGCCCCCGCAGCGATGACTGGCTCTGGGGCCAAGCCTCCGTGGCCCTTGGCACCGAGAAGTGCAGCTCAGGGCCATGGCCTGGGGAAGTTCTGCTTCCCCTTTCCACCGCAGCTACAAGCTGCCCTGCAGCGTCTCTTCCCTGTGTGCACAGGCATCGCACCCAGCCATCACACAGCCAGCTCCAGCCCGGCCACCGGCTCCAGGGAGGGCCATGGGGAACCTCCCTAGGGGACTGTCCTTTACACCATCCCTGCGTGGGGGACAGGGACAGTGACCATCAGCCTTCATGGCACATTCCCAGAAATAAAGATCGGGTTTTGGAGCCATGAACAGCCCCATTGGAGACACACAGACCCTATTTGGACATAGGCTGCATTGAGTGATGCTAACAGGGAAGAAGAGAGTGGGAAAGATGTAAAAAATGAGAAATAAACCAGAACTTTTCAGGTGGAATGATAAACCTCATTGCAAACAATGAAGTAGGTGTCTCTGCTTACCTCATTTAGATCTGAGCTCTGTATGTTAGTGATACAGGAATAAAAAAAGCCGTGCCTGAAAGTGCTAACCTCTCTTGTCTTTTGTGTCAAGTTCCCCATTTACCCATGCCCCAAGGCCTTCAGGAAAAGCCTGATCCCTGAACGCAGCTGATTTAGGTAGAGTTTAAATGTAATTTTTTATGACTTCGCATGTCTTAGTGGATAAATGAAGTCGCATGTGATAATCCATTTACAGATTAAGTCTATTGTGTCTTCTCTCTTTTGTATTCCTCTTTAGTTAGCCACTAAGCAATTAAGATTTTAATGTAAGGTGTTCAAGACTGATCTTACCAAAGCCAGGCTGCACTGAGGCTTCAGCCCTGCTGACCCCAGCATATGCCATGTGTAGGAAAAAGCAGGACAGACGGGGATGGACACAGGGGAGCCACTGAAAGAGGGGAGAGAGCCTGGGCTGGTCCAGCACTCAGACAATAGTGGAGAGGAGAAAGCAGCGGAGATCTTCATGGCCACAAATGTCATTTTCCATTTTCCCATACAGGCCTGGGGGAGAAGACAGGCTCCAGCCAGGGACACACGTGCCGGAGCAAGCTCGAGGGGGCTGCACGCACCAGCCCACACCTCCCTCTCCATCCCCTTCCTATGCTAAGAGTTTTGCACCTTGCACAATGCCACCTGCGCAACACCACAGGCTCTGTAGCATCCCTCAGCATGGCTGCTGGCAAAGGAGGGATGTCGGGAAATGGGTCCCAGTGCACACTGGGCACCGGCATACCACAAAGCTCCTCCTTTTCCGCCCCAGGCTGGGAACCCGATGCGCCAGCCTTTCCCACATCGTGATTCAGCAGAAGAGCCGGGGCTTCTCCCTCCTCACGTGACTCTGGCTCACACGCACCCTCATGGCGCGGCACCCAGAGAAGGAAACCGAAAGCGAACATGGTGGCTTTTGGAGCATAAGCCCGTGGATGACGGAAATGCCCTCCGCGCCACCAGCATGGGGAAGCAAACACCTTCCTCTCCTCGCAGAGAAGCCCACCTGGCACTTTCGGGCAGCACCACGCACCTGAGGAAATGCTGTGGTTTGCAAGGCACGGCAGGAGGGAGACAGGACAGTGCCGTGTGGGCACCGAGGAAGAGGAGGGACTGCGCTGTGGGCGACTGCTGCTGCGAGCACCCAACCCAGCACTCGGACACGGAGCAAGGCACACGGGCTTGCAACGTGGATATGACTGCTTAACTCACAAGGTCCATCCTCCACCTCAATGTACCCGACAGGGACTAGCTGACGTGTCCAGGCAGCATCCCCCAAGCTGGAGGAGCTGAGAGGAGAGCTTTCTGGGCTGCCGCACCCTTCTGGGAGGCAGGCTTGCCTAGAGCTGCCCGGCCACGACGGTGAAGCTGGCTGTGTCCACGAAGAGGTAGACCACACGATGCAAGCTTTCCCAGTTTGAAGGTTATGGCCTCCACCTCCCACTACGAGCCCCACCACGGCTCCGCTCCATCCACAGAGAGGTTGCCTTCAGCCCAGCCCATTCCACCGGCTCACCAGGGCTTTGAAGGGGAGTTTATCCCCAGGGCAGGTGGAAGACAAGTACCAATACCAGACTAGGACTAGTTGGTTACGCACACACCCTACACACACAACCCCTCCCCTTAGAGCCCAGGGGCTGGGCAGGAGGCACAGTTGATAGGCGACGTGCTGCTCTTGTTGAAAACTCCACATTTCACCTTTGCCCTTCGCATTTTCCTTGCGCGGGGGCAGGAAAAAACAAAGCGCAGCTTCCAAGATACCGAAGCTGGTCCTACAAACCGCCTTCTAACACTTCTCGAATGCTTTACTCCTCTTCACACTGCATGACGGTTCTTGGGAGGGC